GACAGACAGACAAACCCACCGACGAACAACGAAGTGATCATATAAGGGTTCCTTTTTTTTGAGGTATAGAATGGTAAAAAGATGCAGACGATGCAAGTATGTACCAATACGTTACATTAAATCAAATTATCGTGAATCCAAATAGACTCGATCTAAACCAAGCAAACATATTCGTTCTGCCTCTCTTTTCCTCGAACTTGTTCGTGCTCACATCAGCGGCATAGCTGAGAACAACCCCCCCCTCGCGAAAAATTCAATGAAGCCCTTTTTATCCTTGTAATCGTTTAAAAGGACAGGTAAATATTAAAGGATTCTTCATTTTTGAAGTGAAACTTCTTTACGCACGGTAGGGTAAGTTCGTTTCATGCGAGTTACTGTGTAACGAAATCATGCAACGGATGTCTGGTAGTGGGGATCGCTTGAGCCGTGAGCACGCTTCATTGCAACGTTCGTTACAGGCAACTCCGGCATGTATAGTGTAAAATTTAAATTCATAGTGTACAAATAATACCATTAAACCAATTCCTTAACCCCTATCCCGGTATGTTTGTGTGTTTGAAGAAGTTTCACTTCAGTAGCATGTTGTATAATTACACGTTGTGTTATTTTTGAGGTGCNACTTCGATTTAAAATTTTAAATTATGGAATCCTGTGTATATTGTTGCTCCAGCTTTCTTACCGTAAAATAGGCACGCTTTTTCGCAGCCTACTACTGCTCTGTGCATTTTTTTTTAACGATAAATTTTACATGTTCGAAAGCCTTATAAAGGTCTACCTAAAATCTTAAATAGAATTCAAAACCGTCATAATATACAGGGTGTTCCATTTAATATAACGAACTTAATGTCAACTTCCGGTATAACCGAAAGTGCTACACAGATGCAGGGGCGCAATAACGTTACAGTTTGACTGGGTGCTCACATCATAATACTATAAATATTTATATACTGCGGGGATGTATAAGCTGAAAAGATCGAGTTCGGCTGCTCATTTACGAGTTTGAACTATTTTGGGTTATTATCTGAATCGACTGGAATTGACTGGGTGCCCAACACAATCGAGTGGGTGCTCAGACACCCGTTGCGCCCCTGTACAGATGCAGTTACTTCAATTCAGGAGAGCATACCTAATAACGCTATTGTACAAAATTTCAAATTTTAAATCGAAGTACAGATCGGACGAACGAAGCTGGTGAGCGGTCGAGCAGGTCTTTGCCCATTTAAGGTCTATTTGGGTAAATTACTCGAAACCCATACACAAATAAGCTTTCAGTAGGCGTAATCTATTGCATTAATACAGATAGGACAGTAGAGTACTAGGAAATAATATGAAAACATAACTTACCAAAAAAACATGAGTCTAATGCTTTTGTTTGTTTTGAAGTTAGTTTTCACATTCACTGTCCTCATCGGAATCAATATCACTGCCACCGTCATCAACAATTAGTTATTCTGTTTGTATGTCTATTACTTGCTCATTATCTAACGTAAATTTAAATAAATCTTTTTTATATAAACTACAACGAAAAAATCAAACGAATAAGTTAATTTTTTCAATTTAATTTTGTAAACTGAACCCTGCTTTTAATTATTTAATCTACGCCCCTGGTAAGAATACTGAAGAAATAGGACCGATATTGTTATAACTAAAACTGCCTACTTTTTCCACCGCGCATACACACCATTTTAAAATTTCCGCCAGCTTTGAGCGTCAGACCTTAAGCTTCGGAAATATTCTGATGGGTGGTCACCGTGAGACACCCTGTATATATTTTCATATTTAAAGGTCTTTTAAAAGTGTGTCCCGGATGACCAAAATTCATGTCTGTTACTGTATAGTTTTAAAGAAAGCGAATTTACGAAAATCATTAGCGGTTACAACTTCTGTATGTACATTTAACACTTACCTTTTCTAAAATACAAATTGAGGACGGCAAACAGTAACGCGGTTGCCAGTAAAACTCCTACGCACAACCAAACTTGTCCCCTGGGAGATGTTTCGAGTATGTGATCAGCAGCAATCAGAGATGCTAATCCCAATAACAATCCCGTGTGCAACCCACTCATAAAAAGTCCAACATATTGAACCAACATTGTAATCAAGCCGAATAAAAGTCCAGCAAACATTGCGATACCTATGGGGATAAAATGAAAATAATGTCACGAAATGTGAAAATGTATTTTATATTAACAGTGAGCTTTTCCATGTCGTTTGGTGGAAGGAAATAATAAAGAGAATTAACTAAAAAGATATTGATAAAAAAACAAAAAAAAAACGCTTAATATGAAAGTTAGGGTCTAACACTTTTTCCTATCCAAAGCTAATCTTCGCATTTCCCCAAAAACCAGAACATCCCACAACCTTATCTATTTATGAACAGTAATCTAATCTAGGTTTACCTCTACACCTCTTAACTCTTGTTTCTGTCTCTAATATGTCTCTGACTAGCCCTTCATGCCTAAAAAAGTGTCCTACCAACCTATCTCGCCTATTTCTTACTGACTTTCATAGAGTCCTACGTTCTCCTATTCATTCTAATACCTCTTCATTTCTAACTTTCTCTATCCGCGGTATCGTCATCATCCGCCTATAACACCACATTTCGAAGGCTTCTAACCTTTTCTTTTCCGCCGCGTCCACAGTCTACGTTTCGCACCCGTATACGTCGCGCTCCAGACGTATACCTTACACGTAACATTTTTTTTCGAATTTCTAAATTACCGTTCGCAAACACAGAAGTGACTTCTTTTTGTTGTTTTATAACTTTGGTGGTCCTTCCATCCTAAGTTATCTGACTTTTTAGATACCGAAATAGTTTTAATCATTTACTTATATCGTATAAATTACAAAACGGGCCTAAACAAACATGTGACCGTGAAAATAGTAAGAGAAAGTAAAATTACTCTTTCAGGCTCAGAGTGGAAGGGTTTCACAACAGACCATCCCTTTATGTCTTATGGTAAATATACCGATGTACCTACAGATTTACTGCACAGTCGATAAAATTTAACTTATTAATCTAAAAGAAGAGGAATTAAACTGAACGAAATGTGCATGTATTTTAGATTTTTTATATTGATGTAGTTAAGTTTTTATTATTTCGAAATCAATTTTTATAAAAAAAATTAAAACTTGAAACAATATTTTTACTAAGAGATTGAAGCGAACAAAGGGAGTAGCAAACAATAATCTAACTCTAAACTAAATCATAAAAGATGTAGCATTTCTAAAGTTGCTTAATGTTATAAATAAATAGGTTCACACGCTACATGAACAATCGGTGCTTTCATATATAGACACCAAACACGTTACTTATAAGCAATGTACATGACATTACTTTGTATTTCTGAAATAAATATTGTTTTTAGAACAGGAAATCGTTAATAACAAACACCTGATTACAGGGAAAAAGTTATTAATCCCTTCGTGTTCGTTATAACTGATAGCGAGTAGATAATATTTCGGTTTATGAGAGTATCAACACGAGTAATACAATTTAATAACGTAGAAATGATTTTATTAAAGTTAAGGAAGAAAGATTGTTTCCATACTTTGATTGTTCCTAATTACCCTAGACAAAAATTTTCAGTCTATTTCCAGTCTCTCAGTCTTTCAGTGTCTCTGAGAGCGTCTCTCACAGTCTCTCAGTTATTGCTTAGGTGTTTTTATGGATCTCTCACAGTCTCTGTATGAGAGACTCGAACGATAAAATTGTTAATTCAGAGATTCGAGTCTCTCACAGAGAGACTGAATGAATAANAATGCAACGTTCGTTACAGGCAACTCCGGCATGTATAGTGTAAAATTTAAATTCATAGTGTACAAATAATACCATTAAACCAATTCCTTAACCCCTATCCCGGTATGTTTGTGTGTTTGAAGAAGTTTCACTTCAGTAGCATGTTGTATAATTACACGTTGTGTTATTCTTGAGGTGCAGTAGGGTGATGCAAAAAAAGATTGTTTCTTTATCGATCTTACATGAAAAAGTATAAATATATCATGGTTTAAGAACTCCCTCAAAAATCCAGTACGATTAAATACTTTTTAGAGATCGCTTATGAATTTTAAAAACTGAGAAAATTGAAAAAAAATCCATTTTTGATTTTAATAGATTTTCATTAAAAAACAGTTAGTTTTTGCAGGTACATGCACACTTAATATAACAAAGGCAAACGATACGCATTACTTGGATTTGGCTTGTTTGCTTTTAAAAAGCTGTAATAACTGCAGGAAACCTATGCTAAATGGATTTCACTTATCTACGCTAAGTTAATGGAAAATTAAATTTTAAAGATTCTTTAGGTAAGTAGGACGCCCCGCTGCGAGGGCTCTATGGGCCTATCAGCTATACCACTGGTTTAGATTTACAGACACCTTAAGGTTCAAAATTAATCGAAAATTATTATAAAATTTCTAAAAAATTAAAAAAATAAAATAGTACTTTTTAAAACGATTATGATAAGACTCTTTCTAACGATTAGTGTCACAAATGCACAAAACACTAATACTAGGTACTTTATTTTTACATTACGTATGTTAGGTCAATAATTGAAACTGTAAATGTATTGTATTAATTGAATCAATTTATTCATTGAGCAAGTGAAAAAACTTTTCATTGGCCATTAATCAAGTGTTGTCAATAATTTGGCAGATTACCATTATTATTAAAGCTTTAATTCGAATTACAGATAAACGTTTGGAAATTTCACGGTGCGTAGATTTTGTAAAATTCTTGCTCTTAAAATTTCTAATTTCACATTGATAAATTTCTGTCAATATCATGGTAGGGATATCTACTAGAGATGTATATTGAAAGACATGTAGGGGCAACACTTACATTGGTAAATATACATATACAGGGTGTCCCACGTAAGGTGGTTTCATGCATAACTCTGTTTTTATACATTTAATAAGAAAAATGTTTTTATAAAAGTGGTGCATATACGGAAAATGTTTTTAATCATACAGGGTGTTCCATTTCTTCTGAGTGCTTCCTAACATCGTTATTTTAATTGGAGTACCGTATATATATTTTTTCATTTTCGTTTTTTTTGTTTAATTTTAGGTCGACTTTGCTAACATTTTCCTATACCTATCTCTACCAGTTTTTGAGATATTCAACTGTTTAAAAAAAACACGATTTCAGCTCTTCGAATGAGACCAAATAATGTTTAAACCATAAAAGCTAAAAACCTGTGGTTTAGACAGTTCGTTTTATCATAAATTAAAATATTATCCTTTTTGATATGGGCAAAATGTGTACGTTATTAAAGGCCGGAAAAATCAAAACTTACTTTTGACAATCTTACAAGACAAATAACTTTTTTTTCAAATGGAATGACCCATATTAAAAGATACCGTTCGATGCGAAATTAAAAGCCTTTTCTACTGTATATAAGGATTTACATTTGTCTTTGACAATTTTCCAGAAAAAATTAATTATTTTATATTCAAAACCTTATATCAGTAGAAAGAACCTTTAATATCGCATTGAAATTTGAATTTTAAATAACTGAATATCTCAAAAATTAGTAGATAGGTATTGGAAACTGTTAACAAAGTCGACCTAAAATTAAACAAAGAACCCAAAAATGTAAAAATATATACATACATAAATGAACACCCTGTATGAAAGATATTTTCTATAAATGTACCGTATGATTTTGAACCACTTATATAATAAATACATGTGTTTTATTAAATGTATTATAGCAGAGTTATGGACAAAACCACCTTAGGTGGAACATCCTGTATGTAGTTGGTAAAAATGTCATGGGGGTGTTGCAACAATGTTATTGTCACATTTATTAACAAACATATCTTGTCAATCACTACGTTGGTAGCTACTAATATACAGAGAGATCATAAAATGTCATGTTGACTCATCGTTGCGGTTGTATTTCGGTTTGACTGTCGTCCTCACTTTCAGTTAGTGCTGCCAACTGCGCATCCGGCAAAATGGTAAGATGAGTAGCGTCGGATTGAAGTGTACTACATTCACCAGGCGCACCAACTGAATCTTTCTTTTGTATAGCTTGTACAAAGTTCTATAAGAAACATATTATGTGATTTTAAATCCTTATCAAAAGAATTGTTTCCGTTTTCAATTACATAATGGGGTATTTCACGCTACGAAGACGTAGAAGGTTAAACATAATCTTTTCTTGAAATTTCGAGTTGAGTATTGAGTTACCCATCAGTATAAGAACATAGGCTTCCACGGCTGGAATCGATGGTATCGAAGAATTATGATTCGGACTGAAGGACCGTGGTCTAATTAAACTGTTAGATTCATATGTTTCATTGGCATTGATGCTGAAAGTACCACTAAAGATGTCAGCCGCAATTGCCGACGAAACGTCTGGACCAAACGGTTCGTTTAGACCGCCGCTTTCTGACCGAATTATAATAGCCTATTAGGTTAGAATTAAGCTAGAGTAGGTTAGATTAGGTTTGGTTAAGTTAGATTAGGTTGATCGATTTATCCGGGTAAAGAAAAAAGTACACGACTACGACAATACTCACTACGTTCGTGTTATCTTTACCTGCCTTAAAATTATGATCCTAACTTAACTGAATTTAAAGCTTTCATTCGATTGGTTATAATTCATAATCATAAGGTTACACCAGTAAGTAAAGACAACACCAACGAAATGAGTATTGTAGTACTCTTGTACTTTCTTAAAATTGCCTTAGCTTACGTTGAGATTAAGTGAGGTTACGCTATCTTGCGATTCAATAAGCGTTTAGAGTTGCAAGTTGAAATTTCAAAAAAGAAATATGTTTGGCTTTTCCACACCTTCCTATACTCCGAATAGTACAGCTTTTGATATTTGATAAATTTTCAAACCTTAATCTTAAACCGCTTGATAGATAAAAATTTATTTTCTTTATATGGCAATGGTCTCAACTGAAAGTACCTCAACATCATCAGATCGTCAGTCCTAAGATTGGTTGGACACGCACTTCCACTCTTTCCTATCCTGAGCTAATCTTCGCATTTCCCTAAAACTAGAATATCCCACATCCTTAACTATTTGCGAACAGTAATCTAATTTAGATCTATCTCTTGTCCTCTTAACTCCTGTTTCTGCCTCTAATATGTCTCTGACTAGATCTTTCAACTATAGCGCCTCCTAAAAATTCAGTCTACCTCCGCTATCATTTTTATTACCTAATCCAAAACAACCCGCTATTACACCGTCTTTATTTTCACCTACTTTTGCCTACAACTATTAGGTTTTCCTGCCCTTTCACTAAACTTAACACGTCTTCTATACCTGCATACTCCTCTTCTACGTGTTCATCATTGTAAGATGAAGTCGGCATGTAGACCTGCACTAAGTACCTTAGCAAACCATTTGAAACAAAAAGACTAATCCAAAAATTAGCACGTTTTTTACATTTCGTACACCAAGAATGATTTTTCTTTTTAAATATGTCACAGTTATATTCGTCTTAAGAAAAATGTCTGCTTTGCCATTCAACTTTTTAATTTTTGTTTCGAAAAAATTGCTTCTGCATATATTAATATAATTCCACTTAATTATACCTGCAATTGGGGCGAAGATACAAGGCTACGAAAGGGTAGGTAGTTTTCTTAAAAAAAAGAATTTGATTAGAACTGTTGAAAAACCAACATTCTATTCTAAAAGTACAATAAAAAATGTACAAAAAACAGAGTTCCTTTTTCTAGTGATTATTGTACAAAACAGCGACTACGAACAACTTAAGTAAACTGCGTGTCTCACTGCGCACAGACGCTTGGAAAATCAATATCAATAAGATACGGTACTTTTGGCGCATTTCACTATAACGGCATGGTTCACAAGAAATTCGTAATATTCTTACGTAACGTAATTTGAGATAACTAACTATTTTCTATTAAAATATCTAGAAAGAAGTATACTAGCTATTAAACACTACATCTCTGAAAGAAAACGTTTCCGTACTTAAATCTGAACTTTTAATTTGGAATGATAAATACTGCCATCTCTCAAAATATTTGCCAGTCTACCCTTTGCACAACGTTGTTACCAGAATTTCGGAAAGTATGAAAGAAACCCATGTAGAAAATACCGGAGTTGATGACAGTCCCAAACCTGGACTAGTAGTGAGAAATGAAGAATTGACTTTTCAATACTGGATCAATGTCCGACAAACCTTCAAATGTCAACGTTCGGTTCATTAACGTTTAGCCAAGTTTAATCCAGTAAGTACTGGGCAACCAAGTAAAGGTACATCAATACTAGACCAATGTTGAGCTTGAATTAAGTTAAAAATACCGAGATAATATATTGAGTGATATTCAATAAATTACGAATTTCCCACAAATAAATTTTATAATATGTAATTATTGTTTATTACTTACATTAAAAATACAAAATTTCTAGAAAATTTTACTAAAATAATTTTTGATACTTAAAAATTGCACTTTTTAAGAGGAAAAATATAATCTTTCAATATCCAACTTCATCAATAGATGTTGGTGTCATTAAAATCCGTAATTTTGCAAAATTCAAATATTATCCCTTTAAACCCAGATAAGATTAACTATGCCTATAAGTCTTGGCATAACACTGGCTGTTAAACTGGATTAATTTTGTTCATTGGTATTGACAGTAGCTGCCCAATCATGGATAAGCTTACTAACCAGGTTTGGGCCGAAGTCACAAACCAGACATTTGCAAAGCTTGGTCCAATATTGAACAATTTTGAACAAGCTTGGTATTACTGTAATTCCTACATGGGTAAACATCTGAGTTTTTTAATTACTTTTATGCTAATGAACAAACATGCTGATAGCATGCAAAGCATCTTAGAATTTTAACCACCATCGTGGCCAAAAATTATGAAATAAAATTTCACCTTAATGTGGTAACCAAAACAAGAATCAACTAATGGACAATATAATAGAAAATAAAAATCTATTTACCTGACTGATAACATCCCCGTGAGCTGTACGAACTTGATAAAGATACCTGTACTTCTTTTGGCGAAGTTCACCCTTGTCCGCCCTCGCACTAGTCCTGTGAACGTTGGCAGTCCTAGGCTTCTTTCTACCTGCAAACACTAAAAATAAGTAACCGCTTTAATTTTCCGATTGTAAAGCTTCAGCATTTATTTTTTTGTAATCTACATTATTCCAATATGAAAGGGATTAAACAGTTATAATTACTAATAACAAAAGGAATGTTATTATTATTATTAATATTAATAATAAAAACCAATGTAGAAGCGTGGAGAGTTATTTGGGATGCAACGTCACGCGTTTTACTTACGATCCTCGTGATGTGTACCCCGTCCGGTCAGGACACATTGAATAATGAGCCCCATTATGACTAGAAATGGCCAAGCGCCAAGAACTATCCAGGAAAACCAGCAAGGAGGTGGTACAGCTGGACGCAAAGACGTTCGATGCCACACCCACGTAACCATTGCCAACTTTTCTACGAAATAGTCCGCAGAAACGGATAAAATTGCTCCCCCATAGACGCTAGTGCCTAATATTGTCAAACCTGTTGACAAGTGAAACGAGTAATTATTTAAAACTAGCTTTTATCCGCTTGCGTAGAATCCCATTTATGGTCGAATCACGAGACAAAAAACAAACAAAACAAAAGAGAAATGGGAATTAAGCTCAGGACCACTCGGTTGCAAGTGCATTTATCAACCGCTCGGAAAGCTCCCTAATGTACTTTGCAATTTTCAGGGATGAAAAGTAGCCTATCTGTTAGTCCATTACATAAATTGCGTATTTACTCTAGTTTCATCCATATTAGTCTAGCCGTTAACGTTAAAAGGCGTGATTGAGTAACTAAAATTCAAACATGCATCCAAACTTTCGCATTTATATATTAGTACGAAAGGATAGGATAAGATACGATAGAATTCTGTCTTATCGTTACTAAATTAAACGGTAAACGGGATAAACTATTGAAATTAATCAAGGGTGCTAATGTCACTGATTAACAAATAACGCAGTCTAAATTGAACCTAGTTCAAGTATCAGAAGTAATCCAGGATAGTAAATTTTCTAAAAATTTTTGCTTCGGAACAACAAAAAGTCACAACAAACAGTAATAAATAAAAGAATAATAAATAAAGTTTTTAGATTTAGTTATCATTTTTTAACTGTAACTGTTTTTGAAATAAGGAGCAAACATTGCAGGAGGTAATAGGACACCATGAAACAAGAAAATTAAGTAGATGTGTAGTGGTCCGAAAGTCCACTGTTTTCGAGAAAAACGTAATTCAAAGTATAGTCCGGCCCTGGTAGGAAATATGATATTGCAACGGCGCATTCGATCAGCTGCGGCATTTGTGTTGTATGATTTTTTCTTTTGTATTTTGTGTTCTTAATACCATGTCGGGGTGTACTTTAAATAGTAGATACTATATACTACGATGAACAAAGTAGTTATTTAATTAATTGTTATCGCAATGGGCGTCTAAAGATTATTATGTGTAGCAGCGTAGAAGTAAGCTTGTACAGGTCTGACGAAGGAAGCTGGCAAGAGGTCGGGCAGCTACTTGCCCATTTATGACCTATTTGGGTAAGTCACTTGGAACCGATACACAAATAAGCTTTCAGTAGGCGTAAATTATAGTATTAATACAGATAGGACAGTAGCGTACTAGAAAATAATGTAAAAACGACTTATCAAAAGAAAAAATTAACCTATTGCTTTTGTTTTATAGTTACTTTTCACATTCACTCTCATCATGGGAATCTCTATCACTGTCACCAACATCAACAATTAGTTCTTCTGTTTGTCTGTTTATTACTTGCTCACTGATCCCTATTTTTAAATATTTAATCACCGCCCCTGATAGGAATACTGACGAATGAGGGATGCAATCTTTATACCTAAAACTGCCTACTTTTGCCACCGCGCATCCAGGCCATTTTAAAATTTCCGCCAGCTTCCAGCGTCAGGCCTGTACTTGCTTAGTTATTATCGCGATTTCTGTATACGTTAGCAATTCACGTCCAGCGCCGGTTTCGAATTGCAACTTCGTCTGGTTTTCTTACAATTTGTTTTGTCCCTTACACACACTGCTTTACTCGCCATGCGATTCCCTATTGCATCTAGTTAACTCCCTCCAAAGATTACTACTTATTTCAAAAACACCCTGTGAAGGTATTAACACTAGCGGTTATTGTGCGACTTCGTCCACTGTATATTGCCGTTCATAACTCAAGAGCTATAATTCTGGTGAAAAATCGAAGAGCATACGTCATTCTTAGAAGTTTGATATCTTTCAGAAGACATCTCACTCGATTATATTTGCGATAGCGATTACACGTCGTGGCTTCGCCCTTAGTATATATGATTAATATAATATAATACCACNTACCTTTTCTAAAATACAAATTGAGGACGGCAAACAGTAACGCGGTTGCCAGTAAAACTCCTACGCACAACCAAACTTGTCCCCTGGGAGATGTTTCGAGTATGTGATCAGCAGCAATCAGAGATGCTAATCCCAATAACAATCCCGTGTGCAACCCACTCATAAAAAGTCCAACATATTGAACCAACATTGTAATCAAGCCGAATAAAAGTCCAGCAAACATTGCGATACCTATGGGGATAAAATGAAAATAATGTCACAATAATTATAATTAATTAATAACTTTAACTTAACACAGATATTAGTACTGAAATCGATGGTGAGGGTAGCACTTAATCTACTGTCTTTTTTTGTGTGGTATATCGACATTACGTATTCGATTAGTGTAATAAATCTAATATGCGCTTTGTGAAATTATTTGATGATTTTGCTAATTATTGTTTCACAAAATAACAAACCACGAACAGTTACTTCGTGGACACTTTCCTACTCAGAATTATGAATTACCTAATCCGTGACGAAGAATAGTAATTAAAATTTACCGCACTATGTATATCATTTCAATAAATTTAAAATACCGGATATTTATAGTAGTTACTTATAAAGCATAGTAGGCATTACGAAGTTGTGACTGATTTATTAGTTCAATTAGAGATTAAATTATAGAACATCCGACAATATTATATAAATAAATTAAAATAATTTCACCTCCAACAAGCATGTTTAGTAACTAGTGGACCGTTTGTTGTTCAGTATAAAACCCATCACATAATCTAGTAGTATTTAAGAAAATATCGCAACTTTCTATTAACTATATTTTGAGAAGATTTAGAGAACGAATAGTACCGATTTGAAAGCTCAAAAATGTGGTATTTCCAATTCTACCGAAAGCTCATCATTATATCAATATTTTAAATGGAATGGCTTGATTTTCTTTGATTTTTGAATATCCTTTTTTTTTAAATACTACTTTTATAAAGTTGATACACCCCTAAATCGAATAATTTTTGTGTCATTATTACATAATTCAAGGTGAACATTTTAGTTTAGATTAGTTTTAAATAAGACTTGTTTTTAAAAATAAAATTTTAGATTACTATTAATTTTTTTTCTCAAAATTTTGAAACACAAATATATGTACTCGTTTAAACTAATTAAGCACTTCACAAAAACCGCAAAAAGTTATCGGTTTTTAAATAAAATAGTTCCTGTTGACAAAAAAAAGGATTTTTTTCAAATCTACGTACTAACCAAAACTGACCTACCCCAAACAGATAATTTTTTAAAGTTAACATTTTCTGTTTAGTTTATGGGAATTACAAAGGATAATCATCCATATACATTATCCCTAGCATATATACAGGCTGTCTCACGCTGAGCACCCATCAGGATATTTCGAAAACTACTTCGATTTAAAATTTTAAATTATGGAATCCTGTGTATATTGTTGCTCCAGCTTTCTTACCGTAAAATAGGCACGCTTTTTCGCAGCCTACTACTGCTCTGTGCATTTTTTTTTAACGATAAATTTTACATGTTCGAAAGCCTTATAAAGGTCTACCTAAAATCTTAAATAGAATTCAAAACCGTCATAATATACAGGGTGTTCCATTTAATATAACGAACTTAATGTCAACTTCCGGTATAACCGAAAGTGCTACACAGATGCAGGGGCGCAATAACGTTACAGTTTGACTGGGTGCTCACATCATAATACTATAAATATTTACATACTGCGTGGATNGACATATTAATCCAACTGTTATGTTTTTCCGGAAATCCTAACCATTTATCCAAAAGATTATTATTTTTGTTAAATGTACTTAATTTTTGCTACTCTAAATAATTCAGTTGTCCAGTTGGGTGTGTAAGACTTCGAAAATATATGTTTAGCTTTACTTATTCGTACAATATTACCCACTTGAAATTTAGGTTTCCTATCCACCATTTTAATGTGATTGTAAGCGTTATCAAGCAAGTACTTTTTATTTTGTGTTTTTGTCGCTTTCGATGGTGTCATATTTATTGTCCTTTGTATGGTACCGTTGTATTCATTGACAACGTCATCAACTAGGTCTATCTCCCGATGCTTTAATATGCCTTTTGAATCTATGAAAAAGCGTTTCAGGTGTGTCCACGTAAATTTAGGTTACAACGAATATTGTGTTTTAGTGAAGCCGTTTTTAATTTCCAGGTAAGAATTAAGCGGTATTTCTCTTGGTATAGATAATGGTTTATTAATTAGTGAAGAAGTAATTCCGATNGGAGTTAGGAGGGGTAGAGGTAGACCTAGATTAGATTACTGTTCGCAAATAGTTAAGGATGTGGGCTGTTCTAGTTTTAGAGAAATGCGAAGTTTATCTCATGATAGGAAAGAGTGGAGGTACGTGTCCAACCAGTTTTAGGACTGACGACCTTATTTGATGATATATATAACACTTACCTTGACCATATTTATTATTAATTTGATTCTACAATTTATTCTAATTCACGCAAACAGTACAAGAGACGTTAACACCTCATTGACTACAATTCAAGATTACTACGAATAGTACGTTACCCATAAATACCAAATGCTACGTTGCCAATAATTTGAGGTGGCAGCGAGTCTATTATATCCCTAATGTAGACTAAACATATGATGAGGTGACTTCATATCTACTGTTTCGCTAGAGCAAATACGAAAAAACGACGACAGCGCCAACGATATATGACTGAACTAAGAGGACAAGGTTGTAGATACCNATTAACATCTATATAGTTGCATCAATTTGAGTCATGGCCGAAGTAAAGTTCCTCATAAGTCAAAAAACAACCCTAAAATCGAGAGTCACCAGACTTCAAAATAAATTAATTGAAACTGAAGGCAAGTCAGAAATAACCCCTAAAGATGTTGACCAATTGAAAGGTCGTGTAGCGATGTTTGAACCTAGTTTAAAGGAATTCGAAACAATTTATAATAAATTAGTAAGTTTAGTGGATGATTATAATGATGTAGACGAGTTAGCAAACTTTGAAGATTCGTATTTTGAAGTTTTGTACAACATAAAAGCGTTTTTAGCAAAATTCAATTCAGATGAGGGTAATGTGACTGTTCAAAATAATTCCAGCGATTTCAACATTAAAAATCCTAGCATAAATAATTCTTTAATTCAACTTCCGAGTGTATCACTACCATCATTTAGTGGTGATTACGAAAATTGGGTAGAATTTCATGACGCCTTTTGTTCTCTAGTTCATTCTAACCACAGTTTATCAGACATACAGAAGTTTTACTATCTAATTTCATGTTTGAAGGGCGAGGCTGCACAAGCTATTCGTTCTTTAAAGGTATCGTCAGAGAATTATACAATAGCATGGAATATTTTACGTAAGCGTTTTGAGAATAAAAAATTGATAATCCAGAATAATATTAGGGCCTTATTTAGCTTAGAACCTATACAAAAGGATACACATGTAATATTACAAAGAATGTTAGATGACATCTTAAAAATCCAACAAAGTTTAAAAAATTTTGAACAGCCAACCGTAGATACCCTGCTAATTTACATAATTACTTCTAAATTAAGCAATAGCACGCGATATGAGTGGGAATTATTTAAGCCTTCAGATGAATTTCCAACATTTGAAGAATTTTTAAATTTTTTAGAGAAACGGTGTCATTTTCTGGGATCATTAGAGGTAAATCGAAACCAACAATTACTATCAAACACGCCAAATAAGCATTCTAAATTGATTCAAGAATCATTAATATCGACATCTAAGCATGATTGTGTAGTATGCAAAGGCTCGCATCCGATTTACCAATGTGACATGTTTTTAAAATTATCTATTAATGAAAGAATCAACACTGCTAAACGATTTCATCTTTGTATTAATTGCTTAAAACTTAATCATTTTGTCACTAATTGCACATCTCGTAATTGTAAGTTTTGCAATAAAAAACATAACAGTTTGCTTCATCTGCAACCCAGTATATCAAGTCGTAACAATCATTCTAATTCGAACAATGTGGTCTAAAACAATAAGCGATCAAATATAGCAGTTCAAATACAATTTGAACCTAATACTGAACCTAATTTAGTTAATAACGATAATGTAGTTAATTGACAACAATCAAACGAAATGTCTTATTCTCATCATACAGCTAATTCTAATTCGTCACAGGTATTATTATCAACCGCATGCGTTGAAGTTTTTGATATACACGGGAAACCATTTACTTGCAGAGCATTGCTTGATCCAGGTTCCCAATCGAATTTTATTACTGAAAATTTGTGTAATAAGTTAGGATTACGTAAGGATAAAATTAATTTAAATATTTGTGGCATAGGTAATAACTTATCACAGGTCAAATGCAAATCAGAAGTTCTTTTTAAATCACGCGTTAACAATTATTCCACAAAAATATTATGTCTTGTACTAGATCGCATTACTGATAATTTACCAAACAAATCATTTACTTTGGGCCAGTACAAAATCCCATCAAACATTAATTTAGCAGATCCTAATTGTAATATAACAAGTCCCATAGATTTACTACTTGGAGCAAGCATCTTTTGGCAGCTTTTATGTGTAGGCCAACATAAGCTAGGGAATCAACAACCTATTTTGCAGAAAACCTTACTCGGTTGGATCATAGGCGGAACATTAAATAATCCAACCCAAGATGGTATCGTTTGCTTTAATAAAAGCATCAATTGCTTTAGTTCAGTTGAGGACGATAAACTCCACAATTCTATTGAACAATTTTGGAGTGTTGAAAATGTTAATGACATTTCTTTAAAAAAACAATTGTCTAATGACGAAGTATTTTGTGAAACGCATTTTACCAAAACAACATCAAGAGACACTACAGGTCGTTTTATAGTTAGTCTACCACTTAAGTCGGATCCATCAGCTTTAGGCAATTCAAAACAATTAGCCCTCAAAAGATTTTATGCATTAGAGCGTCGATTAGATCGTGATTGCGCATTAAAGGCTGAATACTCCGAATTCTTAAGGGAATATTTACAGTTAGGTCACATGTCGTTAATAGAAGGCGAGGATAACCATAGTAGTATTAAATACTTCATACCCCATCATGCAGTAATTAAAAAGGATAGCTTAACTACGAAGCTTAGAGTAGTTTTCGATGCGTCTGCTAAAACTACCACCGGGTCATCTTTAAACGACATTCAATATGTAGGACCGACAATTCAAAACGATCTGTGGTCAATTTTAGTTCGTTTCCGAACCCATGCATTTATATTAACCGCCGACGTGGCAAAAATGTATCGACAGATCCTAATAGAAGAAAACCAAAGAAACTTGCAATTAATTTTGTGGCGATCTAATCGCGATGAGCCTGTTCAAACGTTTCGCTTGAATACCATAACTTACGGAATGGCAGCTTCTTCTTTTATTGCAATTAGATGTTTACATCAGTTAGCCGTAGAATATCAAGCCAAATACCCCAAAGCAAGTAAAATAATTCAAAATGATTTCTATGTGGATGATCTGTTAACTGGATTTAATTCAATAGAGGAAGCCATTACACTACAACGTCAAATAGTTGAAATTTTAAATTCAGGGCATTTTGCACTGCGCAAGTGGTTATCCAATGACGCTTCTTTGTTAAATAAAATTACAACCGACAATAATTTAGAAAAAGGTAAACTAGATTTATCAAATAGCTCAAGCACAAAGACTTTAGGTATAATTTGGAATCCACAACAAGATAGTTTTGGCTATGCAACAACTAAATGTAACATGAAAGGTTCGGTAACGAAACGAACAATTTTATCATCTATCGCACAGATTTTTGATCCTTTAGGATTGCTAGCGCCCATTGTAGTTACAGCCAAGATTATCATGCAAAAGCTTTGGCAATGCAAACTTGCATGGGACGAGTCGGTACCCATGGATTTACATTCAAAGTGGTTGAAATATCGGGAATCACTTAATTTGTTAAACGAAATTAACGTACCTAGGCATGTTATTTGTAAGACATACAATCATATTGAATTGCACGGGTTCTCAGATGCCTCAGAACAGGCGTATGGGGCTTGTATATATCTAAAAAGTATAAACTCAGCTGGAAAAGCGCAAATATCTCTCTTAAGCGCCAAGTCACGAGTTGCACCACTTAAACCTATTACAATTCCGCGATTAGAATTATGTGGTGCAGTACTTTTAGCAGAACTGTATGAAAAGGTAAAACAAACTCTTGACATTAATATCGACAATTCATTTCTTTGGTGTGATTCAACAATTGTCTTATGCTGGATCAACGCAATCCCCACAAAGTGGACAACTTTTGTTTCAAATCGCGTTAGCAAAATACAAACATTAACACGTATAGAAAACTGGAAACATGTACGAACGCATGATAATCCAGCGGATTTAGTCTCTAGGGGTATAGACTTAAAATCTCTAATTAATTGCACACTATGGTGGCAAGGTCCAGAATGGCTTAAAGGTGAACAGGCTAACTGGCCAATTTCGCCAATTCAGTTAGGAACCGTTAACGTAGAGCAACGCAAGGTAGTGGCTGTAATGACTCAAAACCCATCACATTTCGAATTATTTTCTCGCTTTTCTTCATTAATTAAACTTCAGCGAGTCACAGCATACTGTTACCGTTTCATTCAAAATTGCCGCCATAGAAATAATAAAGTCATCGGTAATCTCAATACTGTTGAATTGCAAGATGCCTTACATTTATTAGTCAAAAACGTTCAAAATTTATTTTATCAAAAAGAAATAAACCAGCTCAAGTTAGATAAATCACTAGATTCGAAGAGTAATTTACTTTCATTAGCTCCATTTCTAGATAGCAAACAAATTCTACGCGTTGGAGGACGCATTCAAAATTCGCAATACAATTATGACAAAAAGCATCCTATGATTCTTCCTCCTTCTCATTCCTTTACAAAGCTACTTCTCAGACATGAACACACTCGTCTTATGCATTGTGGACCCAACTTACTTTTATCTTCGATTAGAGACCGTTTTTGGCCCATTGCAGGTAAAACCTTAGCAAAAAGAATCGTTCATGATTGTTTACTTTGTGCGCGTTTTAAACCTACGCCCTTTTACCATATAATGGGCAACTTACCAAAGGATCGTGTTGTACCCACATTTCCCTTTTACAATTGCGGAGTCGATTATGCAGGTCCTATTTTAATAAAAAACAAAAGAGGTAGAGGTTCTAGGTTTGATAAGGCGTATATATGTGTCATTGTTTGTTTCGCGACAAAAGCGATACATTTAGAACTAGTGAGCAGCCTCAGCACAGAATCCTTTCTAGCAGCTTTTCGTCGTTTCATAGCGCGCCGTGGACGACCCTCTAATATGTACTCTGACAATGGCACCACATTTAAAGGCGCTAATAACGAATTACTCGAATTAGGTCAATTTCTTAAAGGTAACGACAATCAAAGGGAAATTCAAACATCGCTATTAAACGAATCAATCAATTGGCATTTTATTCCTCCGTCATCACCTCATTTTGGAGGCATTTGGGAGGCGGGCGTAAAATCCGTAAAAACATGTCTGAAAAAAGTTGCACATACTACTAATTTTGTTTTTGAGGAGTTCACCACGCTATTGGCTCAAATTGAAGCCATACTAAATTCCCGCCCCTTATGCCCTTTATCCGTCGATCCCAACGATTTAGATCCTCTCACCCCTTCGCACTTTTTGATTGGGCGGAAATTGACATCGCTACCCGAAGAAGAGCTACAACATATTTCAACAAGCAGGCTCAGCAAATTCCAGCACCTCCAACAAATTACACAACATTTTTGGAAACGTTGGAGTCGCGATTATCTCCACCAGTTACAAGTGAGAACCAAATGGAAGAAACCCACACAGCAGGACATTCAAGTAGGAGATCTAGTGGTTATTCGGGATAACAACACACCTACCATGCAATGGAAGTTAGGTAGGATTGTCGAACTTCACCCAGGAGCAGATGACGTCGTCAGAGTGGTTACCATTAAAACCGCGAGTGGCATTCGAAAAAGGGCGGCAAGCCAAATTTGCAAACTACCAGTTCGTGCCTGTGAATAGTGAAAACATGTGTTGAAAGGTCTCGTGAAAACCTTTCAAGGCGGCCGGCGATGTTAAGACANTCTGTCAACTATTCCTAATAAAAGGGGTTGCAACGGTTCATTTAGAGAGATTAAGAACTAGAGAGAAAAGAGAGAAATTTATTTTTTAGTTAAGATTAGCCAATTTAATTTCCTTTATACGTTTTTTATAAGTTTAAGTACACACATTCAATTTGTATATATGTGAATAAATAGTTAATTTAAAATCAAGTCTATTTACTACCTAATAAGCAATAACTAGTTCGCTCGCCATTAATTTAGCGTGCGACATGAGGATAAAAGAAAGTTACCCTTCAAAGTAATACAAAAATTTCCTCAAGAACAAACATCAATAATTCTATTGAACAATTTTGGAGTATTGAACATGTTAATGACATTTCTTACAAAAAAACAATTGACTAATGACGAAGTATATTGTAAAAACGCATTTTACCAAAACAACATCAAGAGACACTACAGGTCGTTTTATAGTTAGTTTACCACTTAAGTCGGATCCATCAGCTTTAGGCGATTCAAAACAATTAGCCATCAAAAGATTTTATGCATTAGAGCGTCGATTAGATCGTGATTCTACATCAAAGGCTGAATATTCCGAATTCTTAAGGGAATATTTACAGTTAGGTCATATGTCGTTAATAAAAGGGGAGGATAACCATTGTACTATTAAATATTACAGACCCTATCAGTAGTTAAGTAAGCGGGTTCCCATATACGGGTCACGGCTCCCAAAATCTGGGCCATGGTCTATCCATCAACATCTTACCAATTTGGACCTTTAGAAGGTCTTTCTACGTCATTCTTCATCTGAAGAGGTTAGACCATGCCCCTTTTGTCAACAATACCAGAAGCTCTTGTTGAAAACACTCTGGAATTGTCCTAAAATGGGGGTGGAGCCTGTATTTATTTGAATTTCCCGCTTAAAGCTATTGCTTATTGAATTTTATCAAACGAGATGTCGCTAGAATACTGAAAACGGCGTTTGTACATATTCCATCTGAATTAAAATAATTTATCGCTTCCAATGGCGGTCTTAAATTACCAAACGAATCAAAGTCCTCTACGTTAGATCCTTTCTTCTTATAGGCAGTCCAGTGGGTTCCCTATCCGCTATCGTTATCCAAATTATTAACACCCGCCTCATTTTTTCTAATTTTCTTAGGTTATCTATCACGTAAAAAATTAGGTACTCTTAATGCTTTTATAAATTTACCAATGCTGATATCAGTTACAGGTTTAGAGTCTCTTTCTTTTATGTCTCTCTCTCTCTAATCCTTGCTCACAATAGCTATTTCGTTGAAAGAAAGGAACCATTGAAAATACATCGGAAAAGTGTGTTGTGATCCACCCCTGCAGGTATCCATTAGAGGTAAGTTTAAATTTTGTCCTTACTACAGATAGTATTACCATTACACACTAAAAGTATTAATTGCCGTTATCAGCAAGTCTTGCATTAAGAATTCGAAATCGATGACAAACATCTTGAGCAGTGTAAAAAGCATTAACTGTTGCTATCAACAAGTCTCACATTAAGAATTCATACATCGAAGGTAAAAGGTAATTCATTAATCCAATACAGCATTTTTCGGTATCACATTAATGGTAGTTATCAACAAGTCTCAAATTAATAATTCGTATATCGATGATAAACATGCTGCTCATATGCATATAATAACCCAATTTTTAAACAACACCTCAGATCTGAATTTGACGTTAGTCTGTAAGTATTTGTATAACATAATTAAAAAGAAAAAATGCCGGGCATCCTGATGTGTAGTGAAGAGCTGCAGGATGCAGCAATTTTGTATCAATTTTTACCGATTCAATTACAAGTAAGCCTTATTTTATTTTACTACATGCTTTGAAAATATTTTATTATGAAAACTTTTAAATTTAGTAATTATGTGATTAATTAAAATTTTATTTCACTTTATTTTATTTTGTTGTATGCTTTAAAAATATTTTACTGCAGGCTTAAAAATATTTTATTATGAAGAATTTTAAATATAAAAACATTTTGTTTCAGAATATGCCACTCCTCGTATTAGAGTCGCCATTGTCACCTCCTTGCCCCCCATTTTCCTTTTTGGGGGGCAGGGTTGGTTATGATTATTATTTTAAAATACAAGGGCCAATAGTAGTTATCTACAAAGTGTAAGTAACATATTATCTCATTTTTCACAAATGCAACATTGATCAAGATTTATTTTACTTACAGACCGTTACTATAGTGCAGGTAGTTTTGCAAAACGTAAGTAAATTACTTCATTTCATTAATTTAATATTAATTCGCTTTATTTGCAGATATCAACAAGTTATTTATTCTTATTATTTTTTATATTATTATTATTATTATTCTTATTGTTCTTTATATTATTATTATTATGGTCTTCTCAGTTTGCACTGGTAACTTTAAGCAAGTGAAGACGGGCTAATGCCAAAGAACCTCACTCACATCTTTTGGGATATAGAAACCAATTTTCTGTTCTTAAAATTTAGGGAGCTAACGGTTCTTCTTGCCCTAAAATATGATCAGTGAGTATTAAAAACTCTGCTTCTTATTTAACCTGTTGTGTTTTCTGAAAAGGGGGATATGTCAGTACTGTTAAGAAATCTACGCACTATTCCGCATGTATCAAGGATTACCGATTTCTGTAGACTTATGTACGTAAACTTATGCAGTTTCAACTCGGCTAGGCTAGCGTGTAATGTTTTAGGTATAACGCCTATTGATGAT